GTTTCAATTTTGAAATTCCAAGTCTTTTCCCATGGTCAACCACATTTTTACTTTTCTTAGGTGACTAATCCCAGAAATATTTTATTTGTGAAATTATTTTCTGCCCGGAATTTCTTCATAGAAGTCAATAGATGTGGATTTAAATAGTATAAAGAATGAAATTACCTTTTTAAAATTTAATACAAGCAAGATTGATGTTAGTCCAAAATTGAATCAAGTCCAGACACATAAACAATCCGTTTCCTCCTGAAGACGTCTTGAATACCTGCAGCAGCTCGAGAAATCATGTCTCTCATCTTATCTCTGTTACCCCAACACCCACATACCTTCCTGGAGCTTCCTGCGGAAAATGTCACAAGTCCCTTTAAAATTTTTTTCAAAAAGTTGTGCTGTCCGTGTGACTCGGGCGCAACACCCCTAAAGGGACTTTTTTTGCACATAAATAAGAGGTATCTTGTTGACTCAGCTAGAACTGAGTAAGACTTTCTGTACATCCAAAATAAAGGGGAGGCGTAACCAACGCTACCACAGATACGATACGCTGTGTGTATCATGGAGAATTCTGCAAAGCTGCATGGCCAAAAACCAAATTTGTTGAATCTCCTTGCAAATAAAAGCAGATTGGTCAGATAGTTTTTTTTATTGGGGCTCAGATACATAGTGATACATGGAAGATACGGGCAGATACCGTATCTGTGGCAGCGTTGGCGTAACCACCTTGTTGAATCAGTGTGGTTAGCGACCTTGTTGAATCAGAGTGGTTGCTTAAGAATTCCAACTCTTTGATACCTACAACTAAGCCCATGGAGACTTTGCACACAGGCAGGAGGGTTTGGGGGCACATGGAACCAGTTATGGCAATCCAAAATTGCCTCTCTTCACCCTGAAAATCCCATCTTTTTCTACAAAACGTACTTCATCTCCCCCTCTTATCAACATCCTCCTATACGGAGTATGTCAACCCACTATGCTTGTCCTCACCTACGTACTTGCAGTGGTCTCAAATATAGCAAGAAACCTTGTGATCAACACTGTCACCTGAATGAATCCAGTGTGAAAAGCCATACCTTGAACCCAAAAATCCACACTAATCGTAACCCTGAATGTCCGGTATATGAAGTCAATGGTAAGCATGAAGTTATGATCTGTCATGTATACAGATTGGATTAATTTTTCAGGCTTTTCTCAGCCCAATTGTTAGAGGACTTCCCCTTTTAACCATTTGGCAACCACCCGCGCCGCTCGACACAATACCGCTGTCCAATACAAACATGCCGCCCGATTCAAACGAGCTGCTCAATCCAAGCGCAAGAGGCACAAGCCTTTGATACTGATTATATTATCAACTCACACAAGACTTCAGAAGAAAAAATCAGGGAAGGCCGCCACATCTTGAGTTTGAACAAGGTCAAACAATCACAAAAGTCATGGTCATTGAAGGGCTTACGTCTACCTCAAACCCCTGACTGTTTGTTGTTAACTTATGTAGGCATGTTGGACAGCATGCGGAGAATGCTCTGAGTAATTGCATATGTTTTCTTGGTTGGCACCTGGTCGAAAAGCTCCTTTTCCCTACAACTGGACAACACCGGTCCAAAATTAGAATACATGTGCACTCTCACATGTTCACTTTTTTTCTGTCCTACTACTCATCATCCAACTCAGAGAAAAGGAAGAGTTCTGCCTGACCGCTCTTCAAAAATGCTTATGTCTAGTGTTTAATGTTTTTTGAATCTTATGTGTTTGGAGAAGAGTTTTTTGAATCCTATGTGTTTGAAGAAGATGTTAGATGGCTGGACCATGGTGATTGTTTAATTTCATCCTTCTTTGTTTGCTTGAGGTTTACCCATTCTGTAATTGAAACTTGAAGCCTCAAAAAAATCAAGGCATAAAAAGTGTGTACATATCCATCTGAGAATGCTGGAATCTGTTGAGATCTTCCCTGCACAAATATTGGAGCAGTGACGGAACCACAGGGAGAGTTTTAGCGTGTCCATGGATGACAGGCCCACACGCTTCTGAAGCCTTGGCACTCCTTGGCGCCTTCCAAGGCTTGAGGCCGGCAGGATCAAAGAAGCTGTGGCTTCAGAATAGGAGCAAAGAAGCCGTGGCTGCAGAATACAAGGGAGCAGGAGCTGGAGGTGAGAGCTACATAGTCCAGCTCTCTCTTTGCTCCTTGCCTTGTTCCTCCCTCCACTTCCCTCTCTCATTCCTCTATTTGCATCAAGCAGATGTGCTCCGCCTCTCCTTATAACTTTTCCCCCGCTTGTGAAAAATTTTCGGAACCTCCCACCTGCCCTGGAAAAGCGCAAGCGCAAGACACACGCTCACGCGTGGGTCTGGCGGTTTCCCACACCCCTACAGGGTGTCTTGTTTGCTCAGGGGAGAACGGCCTCGGCTCCCGTACAACTGTCAGTACCCTCCTCTCCTTGCCTTCCTTCCGGATGGCTTGAGTTCTGGAGGGCGCCGGTGAGAAATGGCTCAAAGACTTACATCTACGGGACGTCGGGCCTTCTCCCCCCTGACCCACACACGGTGTGGTGGCGAGAGCGCTCCTTGACCAAATCTTTGGCCTGTTTGTTTGGGTGCATGCGGAATGCTCGCGGCTGATGCAGAAAGCTTGTGGAGCTGACACTACACACGCAAGCTGAGGAAAGCGGCGGTGCATTGGTAGAAAGTCTAGATTTCCAAGGCGTGGGAAAGCGGGGAAAAGTAGGCTGAATGTGCAAGGTTCCAAAAAGCTTGCTGCGGGGAATCCAGGCACTGGCAGACTTTGGGGTTCATGGCCAACTGCGGAATGGGGTTTCAGCGTATACTGCGGAGGGGATACAAGGAGCGGGGGGGCACCGAGGGGCGGAAGCAGGGTTTGGAGCGAGCCAGAGGCGGAAGCGGCGGTGGGAGACCTGGCCAATAGCTGCCGGAGGAGTACCTGGACCAACAGGTGCCGGAAGGGTGACAAGCGGAGTCCAAGGGAGTGACAGCGGAGGACATTGTGGGAGGCAGGAGGAAACTTGAGTGTGGGATAACTGGGAAGAGTGAAGTTCGGAGTAGAGGGGAAAAGAGGGGGGAACTTATGACTCAGAACATATCAGAAAAACGGAGTGACTTAGGAGTGAATCGTTTATTAGCATAAAGAATTGTTAGAGATAGGGAGAGTTAGATCATTACTTACCAAAACACAGAAAAGAAGAGTTATTTTACCTACCTACAAGACCATCAAGCAAGTTACCCCGGACAAAAAATCAGAGTAAGACGTGTTGCGTAGCGGAGAAGTGCAAGAAATCTCCTAGGGCACGCCTTACTTTCCACAACAGCAGTCTTGGGAGCTCCCCCTTTTGGGGTTTCTCCGGGACTGCCTAGGCACCTGATACAAGTGTTGAATATGCTTATAGTCAGTCTATGCTTCTACTACAGTTATGTTTTGGTATTGTTTTTATTCTGCCTGATCTCTGATCCTGGAGCTCTCTCCTCACTGAATACAAACCAAATTTTCCTTAGTGTCAGCTCCCAGTGTCACAAGACCTCAGTCTGGTGATCTTCAGTCCTTGCGACCCCTGTGACACTCAACAACAAGGTGCCCAAACCGTAAGCAAACAAGAGAACTAAGGCCTGCTTTGCGCACTCTAGTTAGAGGTGCTCATGCTCCCAGTGCCCTAGCGCTGTCCTGAATGGATGTTCATGGCAGATTGTTGAATAATGGATAACAAGGTGTAGGTGGACAAACAACACGAAAAAAGATTGTTTAGACCAAATGTTTTTCAATTAACATATGATAGCAATCAAACAGGTATTTGGCACTTGATGAAATTGTCTGTCATCCGAGTAGGCTAAAAAACTACTGAATTTTGCAGTACGTAAAACCCCTGCTCACTTGCAGCCTTGAGGTTGAACTGTTTTGCAGAAGTCCCCCAATCCCATTCTGTGAGCGGCACCACATTGCGTCAGCCGTAGTAGGGCACAGATCCTACCGGAACCTATGGGGCTGGCCTCCGTGCCTTGACGGATTTAAGTGAGGCGTCGTTGACAGCTGTCAGTGCAGTGATGGTAAAAACATACATGTTCCACTCAAAAGTCAAATCGGAAACACTAATGGGGTACATAATAATGTATCCCCCTTAATCAGATTGTACTCTGGTATTACATCTGGGTAAAAGATTGGGAATATCATTTGGAGTGAGGTGTACATAAGGGTGACTGTGCTTGCAGAAATGATAGTCCTGATTATTATCACTGTTTTGGAGTAGTTAATTATGGAAAGGACAGGTAATCAGGAGGTGTGATCCAGGTGGGGATCTACATCTCCGTATGTGACATGTTTTGTCAGAGCTGTTAGGCCTAGGGCAGGAATTGTTTTCCAAAGAGCTGAATGGAAATTCCCTGTGGTAGAAAGTGGGGAGCTGTCACCACTTTTTGAGGAAGCTGTCACCACTTTTTGAGGATCAATTGGTGTGTATCAGAGGCTCTTTTTGCTTTTATATGCTTCTTATGGGCACTCTGATTGTGTGTTGGTGGAAATGAACAGTCCATGGCCGGTCGCTTGGAAATCTGGCTAATTCTCCACTGTAACATGACAAGTCAACTAAGCCGGCAGGGCAAGTCATCCCAATGTCATAAATCAAATGATTACAAATATTCGTGAATAAAAGCAAAGTATAGGCCTGCCTTCAGCTACACATAGACCGGCATCAATACCACCTTCACCTCCTGTATTCTTGTGCATGGAAATGTATTTCTCCAACATAACCCTCCACTCCAATATTATGGACATACTTGTCATTTGGAATGTAATTTTGGTTTTTTTGCTGCTCTAAATCTGCTGGCCTATCATCACAAAGTCCTTCTTCCCTCAGCACAAAATAGATAAATTAAAAGAGCTTAGAGCCGCACCAGTTATAGACCAAACTCCCCTTCGAAGTGGTCCAAAAAACCTCGTTATCTCGGATTCCATCATGATATTCAGTCAATGTGGCCACAACCAGGACCCAACAAATTACGACCACATGGCTGAGGTGTGCAGCTCCCCTGCATTTGCCTCTGTAATTGATGGTTCCCTGCTCAAGACATTGAGACAAACTGCCGACTTGACCCGCAAATTCAATGAAAATCTGGACTGTTTGGCCGTTCGAGGTATCAATTCAATGGTTGTATTTGTGTTTCAGGTGAGTGACCATTGCATTAATTCCTGATACAGAGACCACTGAATGCTAATTTCTGTTTCTGTATAGAACAATGCAGATGATTGCAACTTGACTGAAGCTTTAGTAGACTGGCAGGAAGACGTTTCGATCAAGAATCTGGTTAACTGGCGGGACAATCAAAACACTCACTCTTGTACGCATTCAAACCTCACAAATCTTTTGCGTGTGATTCAGTTAACCGCGTCGTTGAACGAACAATCATTGAAGCAGAACATACAACTCATCAACATTTTCAGCCGGATGATCAAAGCTATCAAACAAACCAAGATTAGATCAAAAAATCAAAACCGTCAAATTTTGGAGCTTCAAGCAGATTTTGTTTGGGCGCGTGCAGTGAAGTCCGGTTTGAACCGTTGCAGGAGTGACTTAAGAATATACTCAAGCCATGTCCAGTTTACCAAGGTTTGTGATCCCTGCTCTTTGAAAAAATTTTATTCGTGCACTAACTGATTGCTTTTCATAAATAGCTGGTGGACCAATGCGGCGGGAAGAGGCGTAGTTATATGCAAGGTTTAGTTAGAAACACGTTGTTTAAACTATTAGAATAAAAAAAGAGAATTTCTCCATGAACCAGAATCATAGTTCTCTTTCCTTCCAGCAAATCAACTCTGCAGAAATCACCATGTGCACCTAATTCTGGTTTAGCAGTGTTCTTCAACATACCCTTTAGTGTTCTCATTTTCTGTCTATTGAATCTTGGTTGACCCTTATAAAGTCTCTAAGCATATGAAATTGGGGGAAGGCAAAATGGTGAGACCTCATGAGTGGCCAGTGAACAGATAATCACTCAGGAGTATCAAGAGAATTATTACCCCTAAAAATGATTAATCATGAGTATTGGAGGGGTTATTACCCCCAGAAATGATCAGTGTTAGATGGGTAATAAGTACGAAGCAGTAATTGAGGGATCACACACCACCAGTGGAATTGAGTGGATTGCATGTCCTGCAAGTTGCTGATGTAATCCAGATTTTGTCACTTCACACAGTGGCTGCTCACCAAATGGAAGTGACAAAATCCAAATGTTGTGCCTGTGGACTGTGTTAGTGGTTAGATAGAGATTATTATAAAGCATCCCTATCTGCAAGTCAAAAAGAAGGAGATGGGGCTGTGGATTCAATTCTCACAGTGCAAAACAGCACTTGAGCTAAAATAATCTGATGGCCAAAAACCCTTTGGAATTCAGAATAACATAACTCCAAACACACCTCAAGTGCTTTTCACAGTTTAGCTGTCAATCTTTTCTGAGTATTCAAAAATTATTTCATTTTAACAGAAAGTGGGTTTTTCCAGTAACTACAGCCTCATGCAATAAATTTCAGCAGAAAAACTTCAACTCTTACCTCTGCTTTTGAAATGTGAAGATTTTGATGATTCATTAGTTTTAATTCACCATGGAAAGATGTTGCAGTGTTGTAAATTGGTCCCCACTATACAAATCTAATAAATCTTCAATTTGGCCAGAACAGGCCTTTCAAAGCTGTTTAGAACCTAAATCTATACACTTCCAGCCTTCATGGAAGTTATTGTCATCATGATCAGAATTGGAAATACTTTTGATCCAAAATCAAGACAAGAGATGTTTAATTTTGGGTCTCAAGGGGATGAAGATTCCAGACACCCCAGGGAGTTCTACATGAATCTCTTTCAAGATGAGATAAACTCAAGCTGAATGGAATCAAATTCTTGGGGGGTGAGAAGAGCAAGCTGAGAAACATTGACAGGAAATGGTGCTAGATGCAGTGGAGGGTAGGGTGAAAAATGGCAAAAAGATGCAAACCCAACCTGTCCCGTAGATAAATGGGTCAGGTTGGGTTGGGTTGCATCTGCAAACAGGTCCACCTCTTGTTTTTTCCCAAGATTAATATTGATTTGAGTACCTTATCTTCCAAGCTCCAAATACCCCCGAGTAAAAAGAAAGCTGAAGACAGAAAGATGGAGAGTCAAGAGAAACAGTTTGCTTGTTGCTCTCCAGATCACAAAGCAGAATTTTTGCATGGCTATTCTCACCTTGATGTACCAAATCAGATCCATCCTATTGGAGTCTGCCCCTCTTTAATCTTCCCTCCCCCTCCACATCAGGTATATCCATATCTTTGACTAGGCCTGAGCCGCTTTGGCACTATCATTCACAAACAATGGTCCAGTGCGGTCCTGCACAGAAAGGTTTGTCAAAGCAAATAAGCCGACAGCTGGATCTCTTTGCATCCCGCCTGGTTTCTCTGCCACAATTGCCACTAGATTTTCCGCCACACAATCCCACAATTGACCACTAGCTTGGGCGGCCATGAAAACTCCAACATCCAGTTGACTCTAGATTCTCTCTTGAATTGGACCCTCCAGCCACAGCTCCTGGTCCAAGTAGTCTAAGCTTTCCAATGCGCGTTCTAATAGCCCTTGTATGTGTCGCTCATATATCTCAAACATCCACACCAGTCGCTTGGCAGCAGCAGAGGCTGTCAAGGCGTGAGTGTACTTGTATATTTTATAAACCCCAGTGGTCTAAAAGACTAGTCCCGAAGTAATCAGCTCAAATCCCAAGTATAATCATCTTTTGAATATGACTTCCGGATAATGCATTCAATCATAGTAGTGTCCATTCCGCTAATCATGTCACTGCGGACCACTGGCGGCAAGGTTATCAAAGCAAAAAAAAAACATAAGATCAAGAGCTTCTGAACCGTAAAACCACTTCAAGGATTCCTGGAGGCTCGGCTCAGTGGGCCTGACTTAACCCATACACCCTTCACCGCCAAATTCAAGTCAGAAACCCCAAATCTGGGAATACTGCTTGAACCCACGTGGCAGCCTGCAAAGTGAAAAAGTGGCAAGTTGAGGGTAGACGGGGGTTTGGATTTATTAATTCCAGCACCTGATAGACAGAGGAAATTCTGAACAACACGGCCCAAGGGTCTGGTTCACAGGGGGAATACGTTAGCCAATCAAATGTCTGAGAGAAGACTGAGAAAGCAGTTAGTTGAGGGAGGTTCGCCGCCTGTTAGGCTGTAACAAGGATTGAGAAGACAGTTTCGGCTTCAGTTGGTGCTCACTGATTCTCCGTTTCCTGATGATTTTGAAGGTGATGTTATGGAAAGTAATGATTAGGATTATAGGTGCTGAAGACAGCTTGATGGTCAAAGGCTGTCCGGCTTTGGAAGGCACGCTACGGTGTGGAAGGGAGAATATTTGCAATGGGTGTGATGTAATCCCAACGGAATCAAGGCAAAAAGAAGATGACAGTAAATGAGAGACTGGAGTTGATTGGGTGATTGAATAAAATCATCATAAAATTAAAATCAAGAGCTTCCAAACGAGGCGGAGACTGTTCAATCAACAATGGGACAAATTAAGCCTTGCTCTTGAACAAGTTGACCCAATCAATATTGGCCAAGAACGGATGTGATTTGACCTTGGCTTCTCCTTGAGCTCCTAATCAATGCTTAGGATCAGAGCACATCAATTGCCTCAGGCAAAATATCATCATCCGATTTTGGCCATTCCAACCGCTGTGAGAGAATCTTATCAAACACTTTATCCGTCGTCTTATAAACAAAAAAAGTTTGTAAGACTTCTCTGTCAAAGGCTAAGTCTATTTTGATTGATATTTCCTCACTCGTAACAAACTACTCCCAGAGCCCACTAAAAAAACCACAACCATACATACATAAAAAAACAAAAACTTTTTACCCAATCCACCATTTCATCCATCCCGATACCCAGAATATTTTCAGGTGCCAAATAATTGGGTGTGCTGACAAAATGTTTATGGCCGGCGTCGGAGGCTTTACTACAATGCTTATGATTATAGCCTGATGTTCCCGTGGGAGCAGTGGTCCCACTGCCGGTAGCAGTGTGTGGTAAAGGTAGAGGATTGATCCTCGTTCATCTTCATTGCTCCTGACTGTCCGCCTCATATCTCGCCTATGCTCCAATTGTGGGAGTTTGCACACCCTACAACACCCCCCCTCAAACTCCACACCCTTCCATACAAGCCTTTGAGATATATATAAAAGAAGGGAAAAAAAACAAACAAAATTGAAGAAAAAACATGAGAGAAGAGAAAATTGATAAAGTTGAGAAAAAGAATTAGAATGAAAATTGGGAATGAAAACTTAGAAGAAGACACAAGATAGGATTTTTTTTTTTTTTTTTTTTTTTTTTTTTTTTTTTTTTCACATGCGAGGTCTGGAATATTTTGAACAAAACAAACAAGGACACATGAAAGAAGACAGGGGTAACCAAGAAAATAATGGAATAATAATTTGATAATTTGAGCAACAACGGGGAATAGTTAGATGAAAAGCTTTTTAACCGCAGTCGAGTGTAGCATGGCCTTTAATGGTTTTGTCATGACATCCGCTACGTTCATTGCCGTGGATACCCAGTCTAAATCAATATTGTGTTCCCTGACTGCATCGTTGACAAAGAAAAAATTGCGTTCAAGGCTTTTCATTCTGCCTTTTGAGGCATTGTCATCGGAAACCAGAACCGCAGCGCGGTTGTCACATTTGATGGAGAGTTTCGGAAAAATGTCGAGAGAGTGAAGAATTGGAATGAGAAAAAGAAGGAAGTCTACTGATTGCCCAAGAGATATGAATTCCGCCGCACACGTTGATGTAGCCACCACTTTCTGCCGTCGCGAACCCCATGCTACCGGACTTCCCATGAATGTTGTAACGAATCCAGAAGTTGATCTTTGAAATTCGCCGCCCCAGTTTGCATCCACCCATGTCGCCAATTCGTTCCCGTACGCCGATAGACGAAGACGTTTAGATCTAGTTGTGTGTATGTATTGAATCAGATGAGATAGAGCGTTCCAGTGGCTGTCATTTGGGTTGGAGCTAAAACGGGCCAGGTAGTTCACCGCAAAGCTGAGATCGGGACAAGTGCCAAGCGCCAGATAGTTGATAGAACCAATGAGTGACTGATATAGTGTTGGTGAGACCGGATCGCCCCATGACGTTACAAGATTGTTGCCTGACAATGGTGTGTACGTTGGTATGAGAGTGGAATTTACTTCCTTTTTGTATTTTTCAATGAGTTGGTCGATGAGGAGATGTTGGCTGAGAAATATGTCTTTCTCCTCGTAGTCGAGTCGCAATCCGACGAGTTTTTCCGGTTTGGAATCCCATTTTACCCTGAGACTATCTTCCATCTTTTCCTTAAGTAGATTGATATCCCGTTGATTGGTGCCAAAGACTATGCCATCGTCCACATGAATCCAAACAATAATCATGGAGTTGCCCTTCTTGTATCGGTAAAGACATTCTTC